CCCCAAAACCCCAAAACCCCAAAACCCCATCATTTTTTGTAATCATTTTTGATAAGATATAAAATTTAAACCTACATTTTGGAAATATTCTAATAAAAATTCAAAAATTTAAATTAAAAATGGCATCTCTAAATGAAAATGACAGTAAAATTAATGAGAAATAGTTTCTTGTTTCTCTATTCTTTAATCAGGATGATTATTAATAATTACCTTAAGGCAAAAAAGAAAAACAAATTAATCCGTATACAATACTCACAGATCCAAAATCGATTCTTTAAACCCCAGGACTATTAGATGATTTTAAAGAGGAATTAGTAAGAAAATAATATGATAGTCAACTTACTTTCTATAAACAACTTAATATTAAAATACCAATAATGAGTAGTACGTTCATAGAGCAACATATCCAGAAATTCATAGAACTATAAAAAAAATTACAATTTTTTTCTCTGCACCAAGAGAGTACTAGTAATATTGGCTTTAATTAGGATAGTATAATTGATGATAAAAAGAAGATGCTTGATAAGGAACTAATAGCCATGATATTTTAGGTAAATGATTTAATGATACTAAGAAAATCACTTGGCTAATAATTGTATGAGTATGTTAAAACTGAAAGTCATTTTAATAGAGTTAGGTAAAATTTGGGTTATTAGATTAAGCGATTTAGCTCATATTTAGCTTTTGAGACCCATCAAAGTGTCATTAATAGAAGAATTGAAAAGGGCAATTTGAAATGGCAAAGGTGTTAAAAAGCTTTGCTTGATAATACAAAGGATAATTGGTTTCTAAAAGAACCTTTGCTATAGTCTATTGATAGACTTGAATTAGTAGACGCTTACAAAATAGAAAATGGTCAAATACTGAAGAAATTTGAGATAAAGTTGAGAAAATAAAAAGAATCATTTCTTAAAGGGTTATTCGTTTTAGTTCCAAAGTCATCTTTGCTTTCATTAGCTCTATTTGGATTCAAGAATGAGGATAGCAGATAAGATATCTATAGAAATCACTATCTGAAGATACCTCACACTTATTTGAAAAATAATCAATCAGTGATTGAAAAGATGCTGATTGAAGATAAGTACAAACCACATCCATAAGTGATAAAAGCATATAGTTCAACATCCAGTTAAGACTTAAAGGATAAACTTATTAAGAACTTATAAAAAGAAAACAGATGTTCATTCTTCTGTATAATTTTGTGTAGAGTAATCATAACTGATCAGAATGACACTAATTCCCTTACCTACCTAAATCCTAAAACTGACTGCTATGAAATTAAAGATCCCTCTTGCATATATCCTGAGTATATAATGCTTGCTCGAACTATTAAAAAACAAACTAATGGGAGCAACATGGTAATATAGGCATCACACAGTGCAAAAATAACAATAAACACCGAGTAATAGCTATAAGAGCAGTTGAATCAAAACAAGGATTAAATAATTGAATTTAAAACATAGATTAACTTCAAACTGCAAAACTTCTGGTCAAGATTGAAGTCGAATGAATTTAAGCAAGCTTAGATAAAAGAATTTGGAAACAGAGAGAATATTTTATAAGGCCAGATTAAGAAAGAAATTAGGTATCATTAAACATAGCTTGGGCTTGAGAAATCTGACACTGAAGATTTGTAATTAATCAAAAATACAAAAGTATAAAATACTAATAATAATTCTTGATTTAATAACTTTCGGGGTTTTGGGGTTTTGGGGTTTTGGGG